GGACCCTGGGTTACCCGCATAGCGCAGGCTCTTGCCGAACATGGCGGTCCAGAGGTAGGGCACGGTGCTGATCTCCGCCTCCTGCGCCAGCATGTTCTGGGCCGCCACACGCCCTGTGAAACCCGGAGCTGTGAGAGCCCCGACCCTCACTCTCACCACCCTGACGCTGCCTGTCCCCTGGCGCTCTGAGGACCTCTGACACGTGTGGCCACCCCTCCTGGCCTCCCCCTGGTCTAGAGACCGGCTTTAATCAGCCCACGGCCCCCCCGCGGGTGCAGCCGATTGGTGCGGAAGGGGACACTGGCTCCAAGCTAGCCACTCAGATAGCTTCTCTGGAGAGTTTGGATGACGTGCCCTGCATCTGGAGGACCTGCTTCTTGAGGTTGGGGGGCTGCCCTGCCATTTCAGCTGTGCTTCCAGACAGCTGACCAAACACACGAGGTCTGAAGAGCGAGGAGAATGGGGCACAGCGTAGGGGGAAGCAGAGGTGACAGCAGCACACAGGGCCACAGAGAGACAGCGGGGATGGTGTCAACTGAGCTCCTCTGAGAACTCACTGGACCCGTGTAGGCGGGTCTGTACTACAGTCTCAGGGGCCTTTCAGTTAAATCCTTTTTTTTTTTTTTTTTCTTTTTCTTTTTTGGAGAGGTTTTTGCTATAGGGTGCATGCACTCACCAGAAAGACAGAGAGAGAGAGACAGAAAGTGAGAAATCACCCCCCGGGGGGGATGGCCACACTGCAATCCCTTCTCCTACATTCTCCTCTCGGGATCTTGGGCACGCACACACACGCGCCCCGCGTGAGTTTAAGCCACCAGGTCCAGGACTCGAACCGCGGTTGACTACATGGGAGTCCAGTGACATAGCCATTATGCTAACTGCTGGTCCCCCCCAGTTAAATCCTTATTACACTTCGAGGAGTAACCTTTGGTTCCTGGCAACCAGCAAAACTTTAGACCCTGAGTTTGAACAGAAGTTGGTGCCAGGAGTGGGGTTTCAGGCAGCAGACCCTCAGAAAATGTGAAGGCAGAGGGGAGGGGAGGTGGGTGCAGGGGGCAAGAGCCTTGTGCTGGGCTGGGCATCTGGTGGTCCTCTCTGTGAGGCAGTTTAGGGGTCCAGACCAGGGGTACGGTGGGTGAGGCTTGGGGGGCCTAGTGGCTCCAAATATTAGGCGAGAAAAGCTGTCCCTCAGAAAGCACAACATCAGGGCCAGTAGAGGCCATAGCAGTTATGTCACTGGACTCCCACGTGGCTAACTGTGGTTCAAGTACTGGACCTGGTGGCTTGAAAATCATGCCAGGCACATGCGTGTGCATGCCCAAGATCCCAGGAGAATGGAGAACAAGGGGTTGTGGCATGGCAATCCCCCCGAGGGGTGATTTTTCACTTTCCCTCTCACTGTTGCTGTCTCTCTGTTAAGCATATGTGCCCTAAGACAAAAAACTCAAAAACCTCTAAAAAAAAAAGAAGAAAGCAAGCAAGCAAGCAAGCAAGCACAATGTCCCCACTGAGCCCAGGTCTCTGCGCCTAAAGGGTTGCCTGTAGGGGGACCTACATGAGGCAACTGAGACACTGAATGGCCCGACAGAGCAGAGAAGCTTAATAGGACACTGATCTACTAAATCCCCCTCTCCCTCCCCAGGGTGACTGCACAGACTGTCAGGAATTCTAAAAACATGTGTCCTTAAGGACAAAAAGAAAGGGCAGACGGGGCCAATAGGAGGTATAGTGGTTAAGGCACTGGACTCCCGTGTGATTGGCTGCGGTTCCAATCCTAGACCCAGCATCTTGAAACTCATGAAGGGTTTGTGTACCCCAAATCCCGAGAGCAGAAGGGAGAAGAAGGGATTGTGGGGAGGCCATCCCCCTGGGGGGTGATTTCTCACCTTCTGTCTGTCTCTCTGGTGAATGCACCCTGTAGTAAAAAATCTCCTTTTTTTTGGAGAGGTTTTTGCTACAGGGCATGTGCACTCGCCAGAGAGACAGAAAGCAGAAAGCGAGAAATCACCCCCCAGGGGGGATGGCCACACTGCAATCCCTTCTCCTCCATGGGAGCTTGGGCACGCACGCACACGCGCCCGGCGTGAGTTTAAGCCACCGGGTCTGGGACTTGTACCACAATGGACTACATGGGAGTCCAGCAATGTAACCATTACTCCATCT